CAGCATCAGCCAAAGCGTCAGCTTCCTGGTGGGAAAATACTGGTTTTAGGGATATGGTTTTTGAGGGAATATCAAGATATTTACCTTCATAGTTTAAAGTCCTGGATAGCAGTTTTGGAGTTTAAAATTTGGTTCATGTTCCAACAAAATGAAATATAATATAGAATTGATTTTATATTTTTCCTTTTGAAACAGTCAGTTTTGAAATCTAAAATCAAATAAAATTATTTTCAATCTACATGAAGGCCTTAGTATTTACATATTTATACAAGGTATAGAATTCAATATTATCCCATACTATCAAACATTAGAACAAAGTACATAAATTTGGGCTTAATCATAGGAATATCTCTCATATTTATGAAGTGTTGAGTGATAACCATATGCCAAGTTATAAATATATACCAAAGTCACTGTTATGCTCACATCACTCCTGTATTTCTCTTTTTTCACTCTACTGCCTCTTTAGAGAAACTGTTTGTGATTTAGATTTTCATCATCGTGGCCCAAAAATACTCAGCAGCTTTGGCTTTTTTTTTATGAGACCCTCATCAACTAAGAAGAAAAGGAGTTGCTGGAAAATTTTTCCTTAGTCTTTTTTTGCAACAGATGTCCTGTGGTATTTGTTATATTTTGTCTCAAGTTTCAGTCTAACAGGAATAATATGAAATAAAAATTATAATTTAGCAGTGAGTAGATTTTTTCATCTTTTTACAGTCCAAGATTCTTTAAAAAGAGGGGCATGAAAATTTTCCTGCATATCACATACACTACATAGTATTAAGTTGGGGATACAGTTTTTTCTATTCTGTGAATGATTTAATTTAGAAACCACAGCAATACAATGCTACAGAGGTACCATATAATTTTATATAATGATTCTGATTTATTTCAGAGGGCATGTGAGAATATTAAATTCTGTTTCCTCTCAGTTAGTTCAGTATTACAACATAGTTATCATAGAATCATAGAATAGTCTGGGTTGGAAGGGACCTTAAAGATCATCTAGTTCAAACCCCCTTGCCATGGGCAAGGACACCTTCTACTAGATCAGGTTGCTCCAAGCCTCATCCAACATGCCCTTGAACATGGAGGAGGCATCCACAACTTCTCTGGGCAACCTATTCCTGTGTCTCATCATCCTCACAGCAAAGAATTTCTGCCTAACATCTTATCTAAATCTATGGTCTTCCAGTTTAAAGCCATTACTCCTCATCCTATCACTAACTGCCATTGTAAAAAGTCCCTCCCCAGCTTTCTTGTAGCCCCTTCAGGTTCTGAAAGGCCACTAGAAGGTCTCCCTGGAGCCTTCTCTTCTCCAGGCTGAATAGTCCCAACTCTCTCAGCCTGTCCTCGTAGGAGAGGTGCTCCAGCCCTTGGATTATCCTTGTGGCCGCCTCTGGACTCGCTCCAGTAGGTCCATGTCCTTCTTATGTTGGGGGCCCCATAACTGGATGCAGTACTATGGGTAGGGTACCATGAGAGCAGAGTAGAAGGGGAGAATCACATCCATCAACCTTGTTAATATTTTTAACAACTAGGCCACCAACTACACCAGAATGAAACAAGTTATCTTCTTTAACTGGAGAATAAAGAAAGAAATGTCCTCTTAACTTGTCCTAAAAATTCCTGATCGTACGTATAAGGATAGACACACTCAGGTTTGGAGAGGTAGGAAAAAATTACTAGAAGAACAAACCTTATACTAATAAAAATAAAGTTTCTTGTTTGCTCTGATGTAGTTTAACTGAATGTAAATGATAGAGACCTCAACATACACTGCAGAAAAGTCTCACCCATGTATTATCTTGACTACAGCTTCCTGACAGTCCTTATTGAAGCTAATTATATTTGTAGGAGAAGCACTTAATGAAATGCAACTGAATCGATTTAAATTGTAGTTTCTATGTGTCTTTTGAAAATACAATTTTAAATATCAGCCTGATAGCCATAGTTCAGTTGGGATGAGGCAAACTGGTAGTACTCACAGCCTGCACTTGGAGCTGCAGGTCATTTTTCTCCTGAACCAATTTCACCATTTTCTCCTCCAGCTCTTTCCTTTTTGCCTCAGACTTTGCAAGCTCTTCCTTGATTTTCTCAAACTCTTGTTTCATGTTGGCCATCTCCTTCTCAGATTCTGCACTCTTCAGCAAGGGCTTGATCTTGAAGAACAGCTTCATCCAGGGCCAGTGCTTGACATTCATGAATGCACGAATATTGTACTGGATACAGAAGATGGACTCTCTGAAAGGTAAGTCAAATTAATATTAAATATTTAGACCATGATGACACAATAAGCCACATACAGTGAACCTAATTTGAAGAAATGTCTACCTCCTCTCCACCATTCTCTGGTATTCCACTCTCATCAGGAAGCCCCTGCACCTGGCCTGTGTGCGGGTGATGAGCTGTGCCAGCTTCTCATCTCTCATCTCTTCCAAGAGGCCTATCAGCCCAGCTTTGAAGAACACCTTAGGTAAGAACATGACAATAGGTGCTGTGTATGTGCTCGTTGTTCAGTGTAACCCAGTACCCTGTCAGCCATGGCAGATAATATGGGAAGTTAAGAGAAAAAGCAAAAGCACATGTATATAATTATAGACACTCTTCTATAACTCCAAGCTTCCAGTTACCTGCAGCTGAGGAACTATTAATAGCCAGACATTTTGCCTTTGTTTTTATTAACCCTTGATTCTTTTATTCTACAACCTTGTCTTAAATTAGGAATCCTTAATTAACCCTTAATTAAATCATCCTATGTCAATGAATTTCAGTTTTATTCAAGTGTTGGGTGAATAAGTACTCAGTTGATTTCTTTTAAATACACTATTTGATCATTTCATACTATCTGGAGAATCTGAGTATCATTCTCAGGTCACGTAAATCAAAAACACATAGTACTTTAAACAAACAGTTCTTGTACCTTGGTGTGACCAAATTTATATTGAGTGTGGTCTATATCAATTGATCCAAGAAGCTTCTCACAGGCCTTCTTGCTGTCAATGAACTGTCCCTCTGGGATAGCACTTGCATTCAGTACTTTGTATCTGGGGGAGAAAATGGAAGGACTTGTATTGGACTCAAAGGATCTTTTTCAACCTAAATGATTCTATGATTCTATGAATATAAAGAGGTCTGTTGTCAAGACTAATTGGCTGGTACACTGCAAGAAAAAGTCTAAGAACTGTTGAGAACATAACAGCACTGCTAAACATAAACTTTAGAGAAGGCTTTAATCACCAGAGGTGAAACTTAAATTTCACAAGCTACTCAAGATGGATAAAATGAAGTAAGGAGAAGTCTCACCTCTGTTTAAAATCTGCATACAGGACTCTGTTGGGAAACCCTTTCCTGCAAATTCTGATGCCTTCCAGCACACCATTACACCGCAGCTGGTGAAGCACCAGTTCATGCTCCATGGCACCTAGCAATTCAGAGCACAAATACATGCTATATTCTGTAATACAGAGGAAGAGCTGGACCATACTGAAAACCATCTATATGCGAATCTCTTACCAGGTGTCTTTGTTTCATTTGGGATGATGCAGCGTACAAAATGGGGGTGGGTACTTCGCAGATTGGTCATCAGCTTGTTTAAATTCTCCTGGGAGAGTCATTAACAAAGTTTATATTAGCAAATATAATTTCCACTGTAAGCAACAAGCACTGTGAAACGAGATAATGAAGTACCCAACACAAAATAGCTTGCAGAATCCTGAACTGAAACCCCCTGCACCAATTTTTCTGACTTTCCACATATTTTTGCTGTTATTAACTTAATGTATAAAGTTCTTCTGATTAATCTGTAGGAAATATCGTACTCATAAACATACAGTTTTAATACATTTCACTGTCTCTAGTGTAATGCCTTAATTAGAAATTATATCTGTCTTTCACTGGATGTACTGAGAGAGCTAAACTGGTACCTCTAGGAGGCAGTCTGAAGCATACTACAGTAAGAATTTAAGATGGGTCATATGGAGCACACTACATAGACCTTGCTGGTTTTCCCACTGAAAGCAAAAGGAACAAAAATGACAAGCTGAGATTTATGTGTCTAAGTTACATGTTTATCTTGTAAGGTAAGATGAAAATAAGATGAGATGAATCCCAGCCTTGTTTTGTAATTAAAATCTGTATACTTATTTATAAATAATTATAGCCAAAATTTGTGGAGGGAAGCAAGTGCCTCCAGAGGACACATCAGAGTATGTAAATTTATCAGCCAAAACATTAAGATATTTAAACACTAACATGTCAGAACAAGAGGGATATTGGAAGAAAGTTTGAAAACATTACAGAAATGCAACCCAAATGCAGCAACATTCTTCCCTGCACCAGATTCTCCACTATAACATTACCTCTTAAAGTCTTACGATCTTTAAATATGGGCTTATTTCATTATTTTTTTAATTATACATGTTGACAATAATTTTCCATTTGCAAGGCCAAGGAGTACAGCTACAATTATTTTGCTTGAGGCATATACAAACATGCACTGGCTAGAGGCTGTAAAGTAAGCAAGAATCATAGGACAGCTGATCTGTAGAAGAAATTAGGCTCTATCAAGAAGGGAGTCCTAACTGAAGGATGAATATGGTAATAAATAATCTCAGGAGAGACTAGGTATTTCACCTGGCAGAATTGTATGGAGCAGCCAGGCAGCAAGACATGGTTATAACAAAGAACAACCTACAACAAAGTATCAAATGTCTTAAAAATCCATAACCCAAGGAGTGGTGATATTTCAAATCTAAGAGATTGGTCCCTGAATCATGGAGAAACACTAGAGACATAAATAGAGCAAACAGGTAATCCTCCAGACCAGTGGGCAGAATGTTGTTAAAAGGCAATTAAAAGATTCCAAAGCCAGAGGTGGGCATCTAAAGGAAATCCGCTATATTTTAGGTATATTTTAGATGTTTTCTTTATGTCTGGAAACATCATCCTGGGACAAGTGAAAAAATGAAAATTTGTGCATTCAATGGAATGGAGCATAAACAGATTACAGTGGATTTATTCCTAGCAAAATATGGCTCAAAAAACTTCAGAGTCTTTTAACACAACTAAACTAGAAAAAGACTAGCCATTTTAAATGGGGATTTATTGCTCATCTTAGGAAGAAATAGTGAACTCTTTACTGTACACGGAAAAGAGCTGAGACAGTCTGGAAAGAAGAACCCTTCTTCTTGCCACCTTTCTTGCCAGTACTAGCCTCTGCAAAATTGAAAAAAAATAAAACAGGTTTTAGATTTTTCTTTTGCCTTTTATGATTCCTTTTTGTAATCTGTACTTCAGTGAAAATATGAGATTCATAAAACCAACCTGCTTCTGCTCCACCATAGTTGGCAAAGAGTAAAGCCAATGTTTTCAGTGATGATTTCTGGTACAACCCAATGACAGTTTCATTCAGGGGGTCTTTGTTCTTCTCAAGCCAGCCAGTGATGTTGTAGTCTACTGTACCAGCATAGTGCACCAGGGAGAAGTGGGCCTCAGCCTTCCCTTTAGTAGGTTTGGGCTTCTGGAAGTTGCTGGACTTGCCCAGATGCTGGTCATAGAGCTTGTTCTTGAAAGAGGTGTCAGTTGCCTTGGGGAACATGCACTCCTCTTCCAGGATGGAGAAGATGCCCATGGGCTGGAAGAAATGCATAAGAGAGACAGACTGTAATTTAGTCTTCTTCAGGACAATAATGACCTTCACCTAGGCAGAGTAGTGGAACACAGATCAAGATACACATCAGAAAATATTATTATTCAGTTACATTTTCTGCTAGAAAGTGAGATTAAACATATCGATAATTACATTTTTTAATGCCAAATGAGTCATAAAGATTAATGGAAATTCATTTAGTTTGTGTTGAGAACATGCTTTATAAAATCAGAGTACTATCTCATTCAGAGGGACCCAAATCACATACAGTTGTCTTAGAAAAATTGAACATGAGCCAAAAATATACCCTTGCAGCAAAAGCAGCCAACTCATCCCAGGCTAGATTAAGAGTATTGGGAGTAGCTCAAGGGAGGTGATTGATCCCCTCTATTCAGCTTGGCTCCCCAGTACAAGAGAAACATGGACGTAATAGAGTGAGCCCAGTGACAGGCCATGAAGATATTTAAGTGACTGGAATATCTAACATGGAAGGATGGAGAGAGATGGGACTCAGAGAGATGGGACTGTTCAGTCTAGGAAAGAAAAGACTCTGGGGGATCTTATCAATGTGTATAAATACCTAATGGGAAGGGATAAAAAAGACAGAACTAGAGGCTTCTTAGTGGTGTCCAGTGACAGGACAAGGCGGAACAAGCATGAATTAATATACATCCAGTTCCATTTAAACAGAAGAAAAGAGCTTCTTTACTGTGAGGATGGTCATAAATTGGAACAGGTTCCCCAGAGTATCTGTGAAGTCTCCACCCTTAGAGATACTCAAAATTCAACTGGATATCGTTCTGAGCAACCTGCTTTAGCTGACCCTGTGTCCTGGTTTTTGCTAGGATAGAGTTAATTTTCTTCTTAGTAGCTAGAAAGCACTGTGTTTTGGTTTCAGTGAGGACTGTTATGAGAAGAAATGTTGATAACATACAAGGACACCATGCTTGGGCAGTTTCCAAGAATAGAGTACTGGAAGCAGGGAGTGAAGAAGAAAAGTGTAGTCGTTAGTAAAACCCAGAATGGACAGTTGGATATGCCAACAAGATATTCCATATCATATTAAGTTATGTTTAGTGTATTAACCAGGGCTGACCAGAAAGGGGGACGGGGGATTCTCTCGGGAATCGATCGGGCTTGTTTTTCCAGGATTGGGATTTTTGTTTCGGGGTTCCTTTTCACTCCTCCAGGATCATTATCAGCAGGTGGTGAGCAACTGTACTGTGCATCACTCATATATATATATAGTTGTTATCATTATTACTCTTATTATTCTTACTATTTTAATTCTATTTTTACTCCAATTATTAAATTGTTCTCATCTCAACCTACAAGTCTCCTCACCTTTACCCCTCCAATTCTCTCCCCAATTCCCTGGATAGTGGGGGGAGCGGGCAGGAGGTGGGGGAGGCTGTGAGTGGCTCTGTCTTGTCTGGTTGCCAGCTAAAAGTATCACACCCTGCCTTGACCAAGGAGGTTGGACTAAGTAATCTCCAGAGCTGTCTTCAAACCTCAGCAGTTCTGTGATTCTCTGATTCTAACTGCTTATCATCCTGCCAGCCACTGAACTTTTCATCTTACTGCAGTGTGACTGCCTTCTCATTTCAGACAAAGGATGCACATTTAAGTGCGACTGTATGCTGACAGTTATATAAGTCCATCTTCTACAATAATCTTACAAAGATATAGCTATTCTGCTGTACAAGTACAAGTCTGTTAGAGCTGAAAGGTAAGGAGGAGATGCTGACCTGGAAATGGACTCTTCCAACTGTTTTGGAAGAACACTCATGTTGGAAGTTTAACAATCTTCTTGGCACTTGAAAAGAGATCAATACAGTCTTGCTGCCACAAAGCTGTATGAAATCTCCTTCATGTCTCACTTGACACAAAAAATTAACTTCAGGGCAAGGTATTTTGAATAACAAAAGCTGAATATTTGGACATGAACATAGAGGATCCCTTTGAAAAATGAGACCAAGTAATTATAAAATTTCCACACATATAATGCATTTGAACAGGAAGGATACCTTCTCAATCAGCTCAATGCAAGCAGCCAAGTCCATCCCAAAGTCAATGAATGTCCATTCAATTCCTTCCTTCTTGTACTCCTCCTGCTCCAGCACGAACATGTGGTGGTTGAAGAACTGTTGCAGTTTCTCATTGGTGAAGTTGATGCACAGCTGCTCAAAGCTGTTAAACTGGAAATAAAATAATAAAGACTCATACTTGCAAGATGCAGCAGTAATTTCAAAACCTCATCTTTTAAAAATAAGGAATGGATTTATTTGGGCTTCATTGTCAAGTTTGTACATTTCTCCAGTCTGCTTTATGTCTATGCAATGAAATGATGCATAATGAAATGCATCAAATTAATTGTCCACAAGGAATGTTTTTTCATTGATAAAAATGTGAAGATAAAATATATTTCCTGTATAATCTGAGACCAAATGACAGGGAGAAAAAACCCAAGCTAGGCCTATCGTGATATACATGTTTTTATACTGTCTTACCTTTGATCATATAAACCAAGGAATTTTTCTAATCGGACCTTTCTGTACTTTTGAGTTTGCACATCTTGAAATAAGAAAAGTAATTTGAAAGGTCATTTTTTACTTTCTGACAAAAAAAGTAAATAGCTGCAAATAATTCTGATGATGTCTTCTTTAAAAATACATCTCAGAGTGACCACAACATCCAGTTGTCACTTCCAAATAGCTCTTACTCAAACTCTGTTACTTACATCAAAGATCTCGAAGCCAGCAATGTCCAGGACACCAATGAAGTACTGTCTGGGCTGCTTCGTATCCAGCTGTTGGTTGATGCGAACAACCATCCACAAGAACATCCTCTCATAGACAGCCTTTGCCAGAGCACCTACAGCATTGTGCACCTATAAGAAAAATAAATGCTTGAGGTTACTATGCAGAGCAGAGGAGAATGAAGAGTCTAAATTCAAAACATGGTTACAAGTTACCTGTTGCGCAGTTTGACCCTTGGTCACGTATTCATTCCCAACCTTGACTCGGGGGTAGCATAGTGCCTTGAGCATGTCAGCTGAATTCAGACCCATGAGGTAGGCAGCCTTGTCAGCAACTAAAAAGACAGAGGAAAAAGTAAGAACTTAGTGTCACATAGACTTTGAATCCTGGAGTATTCTGTAAAGGTTGCAGGGTTCAGATTTCTGTTCTTTGAAATCTTTTGATAGACTCTAGAAGGGGGAATCTTGGTAACATCAAAGTCATCATTATGTATATTGAGCTTTTCTAAAATAATTTCTATTTGAAAATCTTCACCAAAGCATGTAGAAAGTAATGATGTTTTAAAAAATTTTAAAGATCAAAAATCTCCTGGAACAAAATTAAAAGTGCAGCTTGCCAACCTGAATATCTGTAGTAAATGCATAGCTCAGAAGCTGCCGTGACAACAGTCAGGTACTGATCTACATTCAGGTGATCAAAAACACCCAATATTTAGGGTGGAACACAGAGACAGAGAGGATATCTCTGTTCTCTTTCAGATCCAGAGTCTACAAGCCTTTCGGAGCTTTGGTTTCTGACGTTCAGTAAAACCCATTGGGTTTCATCCTTTTACCTATGGTACTTCCCACCTTCTAGTCTTTATCAAGAGCAGCCATTGCTCATAAAGCTGGAGACATGGGTTGTAGGTCCTGCACTAACAAAGGAGAGGAATCAAATACACTTATCACATCAGAAGTTCCCTTAGCATCTGAAAGGTGAGGGTGAATGGGAACATGGTCCCCCATCTTCTTAGAACTGAACCTCTTGGCTGTTTCACAATTGCAAGCTATATTCCAACAGAGGTACAACTAATAATGTTACAGAAAGAAGATCCATCACTCCTGACTTCCTGGAAGTATATAAAGGACAGTTTAAACTGTTAATTGTTCATAGCATAAGATACAAAAATCCTGAGATCGGGGAACTTGATATACTGAGAAGAGGACAAGGGACAGATTTTTCTGGTCACTGTTTTCCTTGGGATACTAAAATCCAACAAAGAATAACTTTTGCTGTCTTCCACATCCATAGTGGCTTACAGAAGGGTTAATTATTGAGTTTGATAATACCTTCTGTGCCATCTGGCTCTGCCTGCTCCTCTCTTGGTTTCTGCTTGAACTTCAAGTTCCCGTAGTGCATGACAGCCCCGGTCAGCTTGTAGATGGCAGTCTTTTCATCAGCAGTGAAGCCCAGGATGTCAATGGCACTCTGGTAATACAAACAGCAAAGTGAAATATTTGCATGTTATGTGATATATGACCTGTGCCTGTTGACCTGTTCTGTAAGTTACTTACATCTGTAGCCATCAACTCCTCCTTGTCATCAATGCTTGGAACAGTGATCTCACCTTGACTCACAAAAGGGAAGTCATATGGGTTGGTGGTAATGAGGAGCATTTCTGAAAACAAATGGGTTAATGGATTTTTTTTTTTTTTTTTTTTTTTGTAATGTAGTTAAATGTTGCTCAGTGATCTTCCTACAAAAAGCTCACTAATGCCTCCTACCAATTAGCTCTGGCTTCTTGTTGGACGTGACCTGGTAAAATATGTGGTAGCTTCTTTCTGCCTTGAGCTGGAAAGTGACTCTGGACTTCTCCAGCAGATCTGTCAAGAAAGGCAGAAAGAGTCAGGCACAAGACCACACATGGAGGTGGGAATTTAGGAAGGAATGGGAGCAGGCCAGGACAGTCTCTTACAAGTTTCAATGTCAGCAGAAGCCAGTTTGCCGGTAGCTCCAAAGTGGATTCTGATGAATTTGCCCTGTTAAGGAGAAGCAGCAGCATTTCAGCCTGGATGGGTTCTTTTGATGTCTCCTTTACATGGAATACTGCTAGGGTGATAACTTTTCTTGTCACGAGAGGGAGAGATTTTGGCCAAAGCAAGAACTTACAAAGCGTGAGGAGTTGTCGTTCCTCACAGTTTTGGCATTTCCAAAGGCCTCCAGCAGTGGGTTGGCGCTGATGATTTGATCCTCAAGCGTTCCCTAATTATTGGTAATGGGATGGTAATTATTCCTGGTTATCGTTTCCAAAAATCATGTCAGGAACAGAGAAAAGCATTGATTCAAACCAGTATCTATTAACTTGCCTGCATTTTGCCAGACTGCTCCTCCTTTTTCTTCTCCCCACTTGCTGCAATTGTTGCAAAGTACTGGATGACACGCTTTGTGTTCACAGTCTTCCCTGCACCAGATTCTCCGCTGCAAAACCAAAGAGAGAAGCAGAGAGCATGTGGTCAGGCAGGAGGTCCCCAGGCACCTGGTAGCCCCTCAGGGACCCAAGCAAGGATGTACTTACGTGATCAGGATTGACTGGTTCTCACGATCTGTGAAAGAGACAGAATGAAAGATAGTGTTAGCAGTTGTCCTGAGTAACACTGAGATGAATGAGAAGTAAAGATGTAAATATAAATTGAGGCTTCTTCAGAAAGTCCAAGAGTACCCAATTTCCTTCTGGGTCCCACCAGTAGTACATATAAGCCCAAATGGATGCATAGAGCTGTCAGAGATATGCGGTCCTGAAACAAGCTGTGCATCCACATGCCCTTTACACAGTTCTCATCAAGAAATCTAACTAAACAGTCTAACCTGTGCTCAAACTAGTGGATTATATGGACTAACTTTTTCTTTTCTATCAGTGGAAAAAAGTAGTAAACTGAGTCAAGTACTATTTCTGCAGTGGGAGAGTGCAGAATTTCATAAAACAAAGTGCAAATAATACACTGTGCTGAGTCCATGCATGCT